GGTGAGCCCGAGTCACACACTCAGAGAATCCTGCATTTTGGCCCAATGCAGGCACGCAGCAAGTGACAATGTGACAAAAGAGTCTACAGAGTAACTTCCCCACTTCTTGGTCTTTTCTCAGGACTGCCAGGCAAAGATGACAGGAATAATAGCAGAGAGCCTCAGTACTTCCCTACCCCTTCCAGACAGCATCATCTCAAGGCAGTTCTTAGAGATCCTTTATCATTTTGGTCAAGGAACATTATCACAGATTAATTTTTTTTAAAGCTCAGCTGTGATCCAAACATTGTTATGATGAGGCCGAGGGCAACTGTAATCCAGCTCATTGAAATCTCCCAATTTTGCACACAACCTTTGTTTAGGGGTGCACCCATTCTGTTTTCACCCAGCTTCTTCCTAGACTGAAAACACCCATTAGCAAGTCAGCATCCCACGCTACATCCCAGCAGCCAATTTGTGTGCTCCCAGTTAGCAGAGAGAAAAACATCTCTCTGCCAAATGTAAGGCTTTTGACATGGTCCCCCACCACATCCTCATCTCCAAATTGGAGGGAAGTGGATTTGATGGGTGAACAACCCGATGGATAAGCAATTGGTTGAAAGGCTGCAGACAGAGGGTGGTGGTCAATGGCTCTATGTCCAGGTGGAGGCCGGTAACAAGTGGTGTCCCCCAAGGGTCTGTCTTGGGACCGGTGCTCTTTAACATCTTTATTAATGACATCGATGAGGGAATTGAGTGCACCCTCAGCAAGTTTGCTGACGACACCAAGCTGAGTGGTGCGGTTGATACGGTGGAAGGAAGGGATGCCATTCAGAGGGACCTCGACAGGCTGGAGGGCTGGGCTCGGGTGAACCTAATGAGGTTCAACACGGCAAAGTGCAAGGTTTTGCATTTGGGCCGGAAGAACCCCAGGCACCCGTACAGGCTGGGAGGAGTGGTCCTTGAGAGCAGCTCGGCAGAGAAGGACCTGGGGGTCCTGATGGACGAGAGACTGAACATGAGCCAGCAGTGCGCTCTGGCAGCTCGAAAGGCAAATGGGATCCTGGGCTCCATCAGGAGAGGGGTGGTCAGCAGGGACAGGGAGGTGATTGCCCCTCTCTACTCGGCTCTTGTGAGGCCCCATCTGGAGTACTGCGTCCAGGTGTGGAGCCCTCAGTACAAGAAAGACATTGAGATTTTGGAAAGGGTCCAGAGGAGGGCGACTAAGATGATCAGGGGGCTGGAGCACCTCCCCTATGAGGACAGGCTGAGGGAGTTGGGCTTGTTCAGCCTGGAGAAGAGAAGGCTGCTGGGTGACCTCATTGCAGCCTATCGATAGCTGAAGGGAACCTACACCCAGGAGGGGAGTAAACTCTTCAAAAGGGCTGACAACAGCAGGACTAGGGGAAATGGATCCAAGTTGAAGGAGGGAAGATTTAGGTTGGATGTTAGGGGGAAGTTCTTTACAAGGAGAGTGGTTAGGCCCTGGAACGGGCTGCCCAGGGAGGTTGTGGATGCCCCGTCCTTGGACGTGTTCAAGGCCAGGTTGGACGGGGTCCTGGGCAACCTGATCTAAATGTGTATGTTTGGTGGCCCTGCTAGGCAGGGGGGTTGGAACTACATGATCCTTGAGGTCCCTTCCAACCCAGGTGATTCTGTGATTCTGTGAAACGTGCCCTAAATTGCATCTTGCTAAACGTCAAGCACCGGTGGTGAATTAATAGCCCTGACATACAGATGGAACAGCAGACAGATTTGAGGGTGCTGCTAGTACCTTCTGCCTTCTGAGGTCCACAATCAGTGTCCAAATAGATGTCAAGGGAGGGCCTTCTATTCTTTAAATGTAAGCTGTTTTCTATTGTATCATGGTTTGGAACTCAATACGTAAGATGTACTATGGCACTGTGAGATAGTGACAGCTGCTGAAGAAATGCTGTGTTATAAACATGCAATGATGCAGTGAACTGGCAAATCCATATGGCTGGAAAAACAAGGAGGAGGAAAAAAAAAAAAGAAAAAAAGAAAAAGTATTTCAGATTATTTCTGAACAAAGTAGGCACTTGGTAGTTTGCTTCAGTTTACAGGCCCTAACAGCAGCTTTTATGGAACAAATGAAAAAAGGATTGTGTATGCACACACACACACACACAGACATATATGTATGTATATATAAATGTGCACTTTGGCTATTGCTGTTATCCTAGAAATGATCTGCATGTGGCTGGAGAAGCAGAGGTGATACTATCCTACAGCACCACACCTCTGTGTCTTACTTGGTTGAACTCTTTGGCTGAGCAAGTAGTATCTTGGCTTGTCAGAGTACCACCTCCTCCAAGCATGCCCCTGAAACCCATGTGCAGCCTCCCCCTCCCTATTCTGTGCACACAGATGATTTCCACACGTATATACACCAGGGAAAGATCAGTCCCTCACTTCTGCAGTATCTTAAGTTATGGAGGATTCTCTGCATGTTAGCAATGAGCGTGGACAGGACAGCCATAGGACATCACTGAGGGAGACCCCAAAACCACATGGAAATGTTTATACAGCTTAAATGTGCCCTCATAATTGATGGATCTCAGCAAGCATAGTTTTCCATTATGTTTAAAAATGCTGATAAATCCAAGTTCATGACACATGCTTCTTAGGAAAGCGACTATTGTGTGTTATGGCTTTTCAAAAAACGGAATGAGGAAATGGAATCTCACAGCCACATCAGTCCACGTTTCCAAACCTGGCTGCCACAGCTTCCTTCCCACTTCTGAACGTGAGATCCTAACAAAAGTGGCAGTCTCACAAGTTCTGTATGTTAACAGCAACCATCCAGCTCCTTCTCTTCTCTCCAACTATTTTTGCTTGGATCCTGAACACAAGATTAAAAATCCCAATTTTATCATGCAGGTTTGAACTCGCAGCCCAAAGAGCAGATGGAAGCAGGAGCTGAAGCCTGTGAGTCTGCTCTGCTGTATGGCACTTTTCCATCCAACTTTAATCAATGGTGTCTGAGAACTGAGGGCTCAACAAGAATTGCAGTCCAGCGCTGGTGACATTTGCCTATGCTCCATAATCATCCTCAGATTTTTATGGAGAATTTTCTCTCCAGTGATTTTTTCCCTTGTCATTTAGTGCCACTATTTCAGATTTCCCCTTGCCGACCTGCTGGAGTGTAATCAGTGCATCTATATAGAGTATGAGAATATATTTGGAAAGCTTATTTCCAAGGGCCATTGGTGATGACTAACATTTTTACACTGCACAAAAGAAGAGAAAATAAATTTAGGAGTAGCAAATAGAGCCACTGTGTTATTTCCTTCCCTGTAAATAAATAACTGTAGCACTTATATTCCAATTGAGGAGCTGGGTACCAAGCATCTTTGTGGGAAGGCACTATTCAAACAGTCATAAACGTTCGCCCAAGACATTGACAATGAAGGCTTAAGACAGCACAAATTATAGGGAACATGAAAGAAGCCCTGCTTCCCTTGAAGACACCACCTGTTTAAGCACCTGGGAAAAATTATTCATAGCACTTCACCACTACACAGACAATAAAGATCCTATGGAAATGTCTTTGTTTAAAATCAACATTTATGGCTCAGATTTCACAGAAGTGTATGTAAATCCAAACTGACGCAACAAATGCAAAATGACGTCTTTAAAAACATGGGCCCTGCACGCCAGGCTTCAGAGCAAGCCAAACCATTTCAGCTTTAGATTCTCCTATTTTAGGACCAGAGACCTGAGACCACAATTACCCTTTTTTTTTTTTTTTTTTTTTTTTTTTTTCCCCTGTAAAAGAACTGCCCTCCTCAGCCAAATAACTATTAACCAGAAAAAGGGAGCAAACCCCACTGGCATTCAGCTTCTCAGTTCCATGCCCTTGCTCAAGTCATAGGAGACCAGACCCTTTAAAAGCTAGCAAAGCCTCTACATTGGGGCCCGTCCATTCTGTGCAGGTGGATAATGCCTGTATGAAGCAGAGGAAGAGGGATGGGCGCAGAGCTCAACCACAGATGAACCCAGGTCCCTACGCCCTGCTGCCTGTACCTAGCAAGCACATTTAAGACTTCATTTCCCCATGCTATGCCTATCTCCCTTATCTGCAGAAGGTGAGCTGAAGTATTGCACATCATGCTGGATCACAAGTACAATCTAAAAGCCTTATGATGCTTCCACAGAAGTTTAAAATATTGAATTTAAGAAGTACTGCATAACTTGATTTTGAACTATAAATTTTACCATTACCTTACACTGCTTTGATTTGCTTCAGTCTTGTTTGAAGACATTCTGAAACCAATTAATGGACTTCCTCTAGATATCTCATATTGACTCTTACACAACTGGTGCTTTTTGTGAATAAATATTTCACCAAGGAGGAGAAAGCTTTCAGGTACATTTGGTTAAGTCACCATGTGACAGAGATGTCAAATTATCCATACGAGCTTGGAAGCTGTCTCACTGCATAGGGCTGCACAGTCCTTAGGTGTAAATGACTCACGTGTTACTGACTGCCAAGAAGGATGCAGTCATAGAATCATAGAAACATTAAGGTTGAAGAAGACCTCTGAGATCATCTAGTGCAACCATCCACCTACCACCAATAATGCCCACTAAACCATTACTCTAAGTATCACATTTCCTTTGTTCTTGAACACCTCCAAGGTTGGTGGCTCCACCACCTCCCTGGGCAGCCCATTCCAGTACCCAACCATTCTGGTTTTGAGCCAGATTTTTTTCCCTTACACATAAGGAACAACACTGTGGGGTCAATTGCGAGTAAAGATTCCTTGTCTCCTTCCCAGCCATCACCCCAGTAACTCATCCTTCACCATATAGCACAGGATTATACTAAGGTGGAGTTCACACTTTTCAAAACACTTATTTCAGTCACAAAGGAAACCTGATAACTTTGATTTGCTTTCTAATCTCAGGAAAATACCAGGAACTGTTCTCTCTCCCCACCCCCTACTTCCTTCAGAGAAACCCCAACAGTTTGCACAGAAATAGGAAATGACTGTTACCTTCAGGCTTGTGGGTTTTTAGGTTATAGGCTTCTTTGTTTTCTGTTTAAAAATATGACACTTCCATTTCTTTCTGTTTGCCTCCATCTTCCAGTTCCCCTTTGAACTCCCTGTTTTCTTTCGGGTGTGCTTCTCACTCAGCATGCTTCAGTTATTGTGAGAGAGATGCCAACAGCCAAGACCTTGAAAGAGTCTAACGAAGGAGTACAGTCACATTTTGGTATTTTTATTACTGGAGAAATTCTCTACTGTGATCCCTCTTGAACACTGCTTCCCCATAAGAAGGAAAGCTGGTGAGGGGCAAGGAGAACCCCTTGTCCTGACCAGAGCAAAACTCCGGCCTCTGAGGGCAGGATGAGAGGGACTGTGGGGGGTTGGGGATCTGTCCATGCCAAACAGGAGACGGTATGGAGGTATGACACAAGAAGCTGCAACGTTTTTGAATAATTTTTCATCATGTTTTTGCCCATGTAAAAATCAGTCCTTAGAATACAACCAAAGAAATCACGCAGCGGTTTAATATTCCTTACAGTGCCTGTGTGGGCGATTTTCATACTCCCTGGTTGGGGATGCAATTTGCCCCAACAACTGTTGTGGCTGCTTATTTTTCCAAGTGAATGAAAACACAGCTACAAGTAGAAGTTACGGCAACCACTGCCGCCTCATTTACCTCTGCAGTCAGGTTTCTACTGGTACGAGTGCTCAGTTACACACAGGAAATGCAATTGCAGGTGCAAAACTTGAAGCTCATGTTTACACCCACCAGCGGGAGGCTCACCTTCTTAAATGTATCTGTTTATGTGCAAAGCACTGGAGAAATTGCCATAATAATATCTTCAGCGCATACATGAATATTACAATGCTCCTTCTGCAGAGAGGAGAGTTAGTACAGCAGTAAAGCACATAACTCCAGGTCACAGCAGTGGAACAAAAAAGCCTGCTGGGAGTTCCTACCTCTTCCAGCTTAAGATCAAGTCTGCTTCTCCATTTTAACTTGCTTTTCCAAATAATTAAAAACTTTCTGAAAACCCGCAAGAAGCATTAGTGAATATATTCCACACTTGTTTGTTCTAACAGTTGCCAGAAGGTCTTTCGGTCTCCTTGTCATTTTGCACTATACGACCTAAGTAACACTGATATTTATTGCTCATTTTCATTTAGCTCTTTGAAGACCAATCCACTTAATGATCAGAAACCTCACACAATTTAGCAGATAACATCACTGCAGAGACTTGTTGGGAAGCTTTAATAAGTAAAATGAATACTAAGAGGTGGGCTGGGGTGATTGTTGTGTTTTAATGCTAGATGATAAGAATCAGAGTCATACCTGCTCATTCTTGCACGGCGATTACAAACATGGAGCATTTCAAGTGGACACAAATTTCGGGCGATGTTGTTCCAGTGACTACCTCCAACACCTGTAAGACAGGCATTATGGTAATGATGCCTGCCCTTGCTGTCACTCGTACTCATTCACATGGTTTCTCACGCAGCAGGCGAATCCTGTTACCTCTGACCTGCAGGTGGGAAATGCACCATGGCCCAGTCCCAGCATCCCTCCTGCAGTCTTTCCACTGCTGGGATCAGAATGCACAGGCAGGCTACAGGGGGCTGGCACAGGCCGATGGGAGTGTGAATCACAGAATGGCATGGGTTGTAAAGGACCTTGAAGGTCATCTAGCCTCCATGCCCCTGCTGTGGGCAGAATGTAAAGTGCTTGCAGTGTCAGAGCGCCTCCAGAGGAGGGCCAAAAAATGCTCCAAGGGATGGGACACCTCTCCAACAGGGACAGGCTGAGAGAGCTGGGGCTGTTCAGCATGGAGAACAGAAGGCTATGGGGAGAACTGAGAGCAGTTCTTCAGTACTTAAAGGTGGCTGCCAGGAAGAAGGGGACAGACTCTTTAGCAGGGCCTGTTGTGACAGCACAAGGGGAAATGGTTTCAAACTAAAAGAGAGGAGATTTAGACCGGATATAAGGAAGAATTTTTTTACAATAAAATTGGTGAGGCACTGGCATAGGTTGCCCAGAGAGGTGGTAGAAGCCCCATCCCTGCAGACATCCAAGGTCAAGTTGGATGGGCTCTGAGCAGCCTGATGGAGCTGTGGGTGTCCCTGATCACTGCAGAAAAGTGGGACTAGATGGCCTTTAAAGGTCTCTTCCAGCTCAAGTGATTCTATGATTCTATACTGCCCAGATGCTAAATTTCTAGGTACGGAGAACTCCTACAGCATGAGATCCCCATCATGGCAATGGTGCCAGTGCCTCTCACTGCAGTATTCCAGATAACAGAGCAGATTAAGGGAGCGTCATGGGGTGTCAAAGGGAAAACAGAGTACTGCCAGTACACACAGGCAGAGAAACTCAGTGACTTGTTCAAGGTCACACAGGAAATCTGCAGGGGAACAAAGAGGAGAATCTGGTTCTTCCTAGTTCATGCCCCAACAGCTGGCTCCAGCTCAGTGACACATGGAAATGTGCCTTTAGTCCCACTGCAAAATGCTTCAAATTGCAAACTTCCTACTGTCCTCTGAGAGTGTTTTATTTGTGGAAACTTTTAAAAAAACAGTCATTCTGTAATGGCTATGGAAAGTTGTTTTCTTGTAAAATTGTAAATAAAGCAGTACTTATATTATTGTTATAATCTTTCTGGTCCTCAGTGACAGGGTGACCCCCATTGGTGTACGGAAATGGAGCAATTCATGAGTAATGGACCGTTTCCTGACATGCATATGCTGCAGCCCATCTTTTGTTCTCGGATCTTCAGGGACTATCTCTTATCATAGGTCTTTCCCCCCATGGAGAAATGCTTGGAGATTGCTTTAGGTAACACAGCAGTGGGTAATTGTCAAAGCCAACTTAAATTAAAGAATCTTTTCGGCAGTTCTGAGTATGCCCTTCGTGGACAACTGCAGGGGTAAATGATTTAACTCACTTTCAAAGAGCTTTAAGCTTAGAAATGTTTGGGTTTCAGACCTATCTCACAAATAGGGACCACCACCTTGTTATCATGAGCACCCGAAGCTCCCATTGGAAACCACGGGGCTCTGTTTTATGATCAGTGGTCTTTGTAGGAAATACCTCCTTGAGGACTGAATTCATGACCTAACAGAGAAGGCCAAAGCCTCGCTGTTGCCTCATGTTTCAGGGGATGTCCACCTTTCCTACACAAACAGATGGCACTGCAACAACAGGTCTCTGTGCACGAGGTTTTGTGGATGCACAGTTCACAGCGAGGATAAAACAGTAAAACCAGACCGAAAACTTTCATTACCCAGCGATGCAAGTCACAACAGCAGGGTTAAATCTGTTTCTATTTAGACAATATCTGGAACAGCGTTTTATTATACAGCCTGTAAAGCACTGCCTGTGCATGGGTGGAAAGTACATTGTCTCCTTAAATAAAGAACTGGGGCAGGATTGTTTGGCACTTTTTTTTTTCTTCTTGTTTTTGCTTTAACCATAAACACAAAGTAACCATTTCTCCATAACATTGAACTCTTTGTGGCCTTCCTAGAAACAATAAAAGTACCCAAAAATAAACAACTACTTAGAATAAATATTAACTCAGAGACCTTTAAAATATGAAGAAAGCTGTCTCCTCAATATCGTCTCTTCCCTGATAAATGCAAAAGCCACCCCATGGGGTTCAATACCCAGGGATTTCAAGGCTTCAGGGTGTCTTATGATGCTCGCTCCACGCAGGCTGAATGCCAGGCTTTGTGACTGGCTCTGTCTTAAAAGACAGAGTCCTAATCACTTTCAACTTCTCTAATTCTTCGCATTCCTTCCTAGCAAAATAACTGCCCGCCTCATAATGGTAGAAACATTTGGAGACTAAAAGAAACAAACATAAAATAATCAATTTTCAAGGTCCACTTGCAGACGGAGGGACTGTTTATGAAACATTTACCGTTCAGTTGCAGGAGAAAATCTTGTCTTAACAGAAAAAGGGGAAGCATGGAAATACTAGAGAGATTTTTTGTGAGGGGGTGGGTATGGGCATTAAAAATCTCCCGCTCCACAACTCAGATGATTGGCTTTCCCAGTAAATAGATGTTATCCACATGTTACCCAAGGAAATGCGCATTTTAAGCTTTGCAGAGTGAGGAGCAAGGGCTACTACCTCTCACACAAAGCAGAATGGGTTTGCTGATCCCCAGACTGTGGGTTCAGCCTGTAAAACATCTCGAGCTTCAGCCTGGCCAGACCAAGCAGTGACCACAGCACGGCCCTGGCAGCAGAGCTCATCTCTCCTACCAAGTGTTTCTTTCGGGCAGGTTCCAGTTTCTGAAACAAAGCCTCCTGCTGGGTTCTTACTCATCATTTCTGCTGAGTTCCCATTAATAGACAAGAAGAGATTGATCTTCCAAGCCAGGGTCCACTCCTGATTTCCCGCTTTTTACACCACACACAAGAGTTCTTGGAGCAGTGGTACCCGTCACAAAGGACTGCCACAAGATGGAAATACTTCTGGTTAAAGTCTTATCACTTCAGCTGCACTGACCACACTTCTGATCACAGTCTGTCATCACTCTCCAAGCTCTGCCTCCCACCCATCAGCTCAGAGGTTTGGTATTTTGATAGCCTTATCACCTCTTGGATCTAGATTTTATCTTTATCTTCTGTGGTAACATTCGAAGAATTAGAGAAGGAAAAAAAAAAAAAAAAAGAGCTTTTATTGGCTTAATTTAGAAGTAAGACTTGCTTTTCAATTCCAGTTAAATAATTCATTTAAATCTTGCCAAAAATGCTGGAAAACTAATGTGTACAGATGAGAAGAAACCTTTCTAAAAATATGAATGGAAAACATCCAGTCTTTCCTGTTATGTTTATAGTTTTCCCTTACAGCATAGCATTAAAATTACAAGCTCTCATGTGGTATAATTTGGTTACATCCCCTAAAGACACAGGAAAGTAGTCCCAAAGGAACTCTACCCCAGTGAGAACTGAAGGCGCTGAGTACATCACTCAGGAACATCTCTTTTTTAATTGTTAGTGAGTGGGAATACTGGTTTCTTGCCTAGACCTCCCCAGACCTCTCTTCCCATATGTGTGAAGATGGAGCTAGATGGGGTAGCCCAGCTCACAGGTCTCTCTTACAAAGATCCATTTGTCTGGGTTTTGAGGTCTGTTACCTTTACCCACACTGAGTTCTGAGAGCAAAAGGTAACTGTGTCCAACTAATGATGAGGTGACAGGAGGTCCCAAATATAGGTAGCATATGCATGAGTGACAAAGACCAGAACTCACCTTCATGCGTGGAGACGTTCCTCTCTTACCATTTCCAACCCAATGAGCAAAAGTTTTCAAAAGCACTCAGCAGTGGCCTAATGCTGTTTCCCCTGGGTCTAATGGCAAAACCAGTGATGTCTGCTCAGCCTTCAAGGCTCTGGAAAGTCTGATCTGCTGATGGTGAACTGCTGAAGACCAACCTGCCTTGGGCATCTTCTCTATTTACGTTCAGCTCCCTGCTATCCCTCAGTTTTTAAGACCAAGGCTACACTGCTCTTACCCCACTTGTCTGTGGGCAGCAATCAATTCTTGATGTGCAGCAAGAGTTCACGGTAAACGCATTAAACTTTTAGATCTGTAAATAAGTGCAGAAGCCATATTAGACCCTGATATAATGCAACAGATAAGTTCAGTGATTGACTTTTAACATACAAACAATGCCACTGAAGTCATTTTAACAAAATTATGTATCTCCTTTCATTTTGTATGCTTAACGTTAAGCTCATAGTTAAGTGCCTGACTAATTAATTCTCTCTCTATGTACTTTAACTCAGACTTGTTTGGGGTCATTCAGTGCCATCTTACACAGATAAACAACAGTACAGCTTCCCTAAAACAATAGGCTGAAACCCGTTTGCATGCACTGAGACTCTAATGGTGCCTCAGGATCTGTTTTCCCACGAAATATGACCTTCAACTTCTTTCACTACATTTATGGACAGTTTATCACTCAAGAAGCTGAACCTGCCCTTCTCAAGATATCACAGTTTCTGGATTTCGTCTCAGTGCTGGCAGGATATGGGCTGCATTACCAAGCCCTCCATGCAGAGGATTCCAAGTGCAGTCACATAGATTTCAATGGGTTGCACTATCTCAGTGGAGAGAATTTATTCAATCTACAACATTCTTCTAGTTAATTGTGCTGTAAAGTCACTTCATATACACAACTATTACAAGAACTGGTTTCTAACTAACACACTTTTCAAACCACCTCTAATAGGGAATTTACATAAGTACCAGCAAGAACTAGTTTATGGCTTTCATTTCTCAGGCAAGGGAGTAAGAATCTTACCTACTGCCAGAAACAAGTCCCCCACTCCTGATACGCTTGTGGATGGATGAACCAGGTCCTGTGTGCAGGGATAAGTCCCAGCCCCGTCACCTGGCTCAGTGTTATAGATGAACTGATGCAGATGAGCTGCAGACCTCTTCCCCTTGCTGAAGAGAAGAAATGCAATCCGTGCTGTGAGTCTCTTCTTGCTGCTGGAAACTATGTAAAAAGGCACAAGCAATCCTTTGTAGCCGAAGAATCAGCTAAAAAAATCCAATAATTAGCCAAAGGAGCTAATTGCTGATATTTTGTTAAATAAAAAGAAAACAAAATGCTTTAATGATCTGTGTTGCACGCTGCTCTAAATGTATATTCAAATAAAGCACGTATCTCATTGAACACATCCAATTCTAGGCTTCCCAGATTCAATATAAATGATTAGACCTGTCTCTCTTTAGACAAATTATCAGTAAGGAAAGCCTTAGAAATATTTTCTTGTGAAATACAGTGCTATTTCTTTAAATAAAGGGCTCTGGCAGTTCTGTGAGGCAGTTAGCTTAGCGCCATTAATACAGAATACAGTCTATCAGCATTTAGTGAACTCTCCGTGACCCTGGTGGAAAGTAACTACTTTAGCTTACACTTATGAAAAATATTATTAAAAAATGCTTTTGAAATGTAAGCATCATTCATAGTCAGTGTTAAACCAGAGTTATGCTGCCGGCTCCATCAGGCAGTTCACCAAAGATGGGGACCACTCGTCTTCTCCAGGGGATGCAGAGGGACTCTGGGAGCAGGAAAGCAGAGCTTCTCAAAGTATCTTGCTCCTCTTCCGCCACATGAACTCACAGGTTGCTTTTTTATTTGCTACATATTTCTTCTTTCAGCAGAAACCTCTCTGAAATGGCCTACATATTCAGTTTTGAAGTTCACCTGCTTTGCAACAGAGCAACAACAATGTGCTGTGCATGAGTATGTCCTGATGTGCCAAGACATGGCCTTCAAGGGTCACAGCTCCTCCCTTGCAGAAGGGCATCCTGGTCAGGAAGGATCTTAGGGAGGAAGCCCAGGGCCGTGTCTGCTCTTCCTGCCTTGCAGAGGAGGAAATTTTAATACTTCTCTGCCAACAAAAGGCAGTAAATGGCTTCCTTTGGTCACCCCCACACACACACCCTCACTGTCCTCAGGATCACGCCTGCATGCCATGGCTGTTCACCAAGTAGTACACAAGGTCACAGAATAAAACCAGCCCCTGGAGAAACCACCTGAGACAGGGACTTTTGGACATGGTGTAGCTATCTAGGCCCACATGCATAACACTGCAGGCGTCCAACTGAGATGCAGGCGCTTGGCCACTCGTTACCTGGAGCTCCACATAAAGCCAATGGGTCAGGCCCTCACAGGGAACAAATGCACTTCTCTGAGATATCTCTGGGAGCATCTACCTCTCAATTGGGCACCTATGTGCCTAATTTAGCCTCTTAATTCAGACATCTCCATTAAGCCAGACCTCAGTCCAAGCTTTAGCAGTTGCAAACTGAAATCAGGAAGCTCTTGCAATCTCCTTATTTGTCTAACATTCAGGAAAGACATCTGGTGACAGGAGCTGAGCCCTCAGCCTGCAGCATCAGTGCTTCTGTGGATAAGCACACAGGGACCGCCTGTCTGAGCCCTCTGTGTCAGAAATACGGGGTTTCTGCATTTGGAAGAGGGCCACCATTGGAAGCTGAACCTGGCCAGACCAGTTAGTAACATTCTCACGATAAACAGAGCTGTTCATTGCTTGGGCCACTGGCTGATTATAATAGCTATGAAATTACCCAATTTAGTTCACCACGCCAATAAAATTTATACAAAAATACCACCAGAATCTTGGCTAACATATGGATAACTGTATGAAAGTTACCCAAGCCAATGTGACAACCATTTAAGAGGACTAACCTCTGTCATACGGTTTTCATTTTATGTGTATGCTATACAAACACAACCACCACAAATATGCGTTACAGGCTGCCTGGGACTCACTAGCGAGGTGAATTAGCGCTGCAGTCTGACCTGTTGAAAAGCTTAACCTTTAACCTCCTGGGCAATGGCGGTTGCAATTTGCAAGCCATTCCTGTGTTGAGTGGCTGAAAACATACTTATTTACTTGTGTAAAGCTATAAATGAAATGGGTTGGGTGAGCTCAGCTTACTTCCCAGTTCACAGATCACGTCGCAAAACGCTACCACATGTTCAGCAAGTAATTCAGCATGAGGACTGAACGCTACCGCACTGTGACCCAAATTCACTCTTCAGAGAGAGAAGAGTTCTTTCTCATGTGGAGTGAACAGGAGAGAATTCTGAGTGACTTCCTTTTTAAGTAACTTCCCACTATGCTTCCAAGAAAAAAGAAATTTGAAGAGGTTGTTTGAAAATAAATCATTTTCAATAAATTCTCTCCATATCCATGCTGATACACTTCTCATTAGAAATGTATGTTTCTTGTTGCTGCCCGTTGGTGGGTCTCATCTCTGACCTGGCTGCATTACCCACGTAAGGTGAAGCATTCAGACAGTTCTCCATTTCGTCTGCAAAGGCTGCCAGTGGTGCTGCTTAAGATGAACTGCAGAGAGGTAGCTGGAAGGTGGATGGAAATACCATTTTACACTCTCAGGTTTTGCAAGGTTTATCACTTATCAGTTTTTTGAAAGATGCATCATTTCAGGATGTGAAGCTCTCCCTGCTGGAACTGCTCTTGTCTATCAAATGAAGCCAAATCAGGAGATAACCCAGCTTTAGCAAACTGGATGTTTTGTAATGTAGATAGCAGGATAATAACTATTTCTAGATCAAAGTCGGTGACTAGGCGTTGCTCTTGGCTTGTTGGCTTTTCTGTCTGACTGCATAACCACAGGTAGGCTTGAGTTGCAAAATTGAGATCAGAATGCAAACTGCATAATTTGAGAACTATTTAGTTGCAGAGACCTGGTATGGTTCATGGAGAAGTGAGACAGGAATAAGGATGCTCAGAACCAGGGCTGTGCACCAACTACAGCCAGCCTGACCATGTGCTGCAGTCCTGGCCCACCTTCAGCCCCAATGCAGGTAAATTGCACCACACAGTTTTCTGAACAGATTAAAGCCACTGTTTCTTTCTGTCCGTATTTACACTTATGTGTTGAAACAGATCAAAAACATTAACCTTTCGTACCTACCATAACATTCTTCCATTAAAGCAGGTATTTCTGATCTTTGTTGTCTGATATTTCAGTTCTTGTTTGAATACTTCTCTCCTTTCAGGCCCTTCAATAAAAGAAAGAAGAGTGCCTCTGTGAAGACATAGACAAAAAGGTTTATTTCTCTCTTGCTTCAAAAGATTTATGTTATCCAGAAGAAGCTCAAAAGCCCTGGATGAGCCAGGAAAGTTTAGGGAGGGATGCGAGGGAACAGCACAGTACATATATTGCTGCTTTTCCCTGCTTTCATATACATACCATAGGCAGCTGTAGCCCTACAAATTTTAGGTTAAAATATGACACCAGCCCTGGGATATATCAAGGAATATGGAAAGATGACACAATAAACAATAGGGATAGAAAAGGACAGAGCAGAATACGGGTGTACAGACTTCACTTACTTCAGCTGTAGGCACAAAGGAGTCCACAGCTGATGCTGGTGCTGAGATTTCTCTTGGTAGTGGCAATGAAAAATAACAGCAATGAAAATAACATCATCATTCCAGAACGTATGACAACCTACGTTCCAGATATTGGTGAAAATTGGAGGACTTGTTTTTTAAAGAAGAAATTTGAATGAAAAATTTCTGGTCTAAAACTGGATTTTGAAGAAAAAGTCATCTTGGATGGGATCCATGCCACGCTCTTCCACTATATTTAAAAGCTGGTTTCAGAGGTGAATATCAGCATGTGAAACAGCATTACTATTAATGCTAAGGTCATATTTGTTGATTACAAAGAAAGCAGCAGATTTCCTTTGAAGAGAGGAACCAGTATTCCCCATTGGCTGGGAGCTTGCTGCGATAGCTCTGCAGTCAGAGGCTGGCAATAATTACACCTTGGGTTTTGCGGTCATTTTGGATTGGTGTGAACATGATAAATGACATGTTTTAATTTGAACTATTGCTCAGCAGGCCTGTTCAGGTAGGCAATAATTCACTCAAGCAGGCAATAAACCTGAACAGGCAATAGCCCACACTTTGAAGTATGCCAGCAAACTCTTTAGCAACAAAATAAATATGTACATGAACTTCCGCCATAAATTGTCTTTAGTGAGGCAGACCTAGTAAGAGTTTCAGAGCTGGCTTTTCAGGTACTCATGAGGAGCAGAATGAGTCAGTGGGCAGATCCTACTACTGCATTAATTCTTTGAAGCTGGACTAACGAACTGGTCCAATGTTAGGAGGAGTCTTCTATTGAGTGACTAAGCTGGCAGGGCAGTTTTTTCCTTTTACTAACATCAGTAAATTGCCTCCTGTGAAACAACTTATAAGTGGTTCTGCTCCTCTGCAGCCTACCAAACTGCAAAAAGGCAGCAGCAATGTGCAGAGAAGGCTTGCTACAGCTCTGAAGAGATACTAGAGGGTCCAAGCAGATCCAACACTCAGTGCTCAGGACACCTGCTGGCAAAGACATGTTTGCACAACACTCTTCTTTACAATTCTGATTTAACTGTTTTCAAATCAGGCCGCATGGCAGACATTACATCACTTCTATATTGCAAATGCAACGTTTTCAATCTTTAGGCAAACATGTGCATTGTTGTAGTTGCTTAAACTAAGAGTTTCTTGAAAACGTCTCCAGACTTGCTGGTAATATGTTTCTGTCTCTGTGGGATGCAGTTGTAAAGGAAAGCAAAAGTGACTTGATTTCTTCTGGCTGCCACAAGCTCTTATTTTCTTCCACAAGGACTTAGATTGCTGTCACTGATTACCCTAACAGGCCCAAGGTTGGTCTACGTGAAGCTTTTCCACCTTCTGTTTATATGAACAAGGGAAAGAATTTAAAGTCAGAAGAAAAAACAGCAAAAGATTAAATGGAAAGAGACAGTCTGTCATCAGCAGGAGATGGCTATGAGTCCCCACTGTTCTGCTGCCCAGCTGTGCTCTTGTTCCAGACACCTCTGGGTGAGATATTTTGAGATACTTCAACATCTGAGGCTGTCTCTGGTGCAGAATCCCTCACCTGTTTGCAGACGTTCTCTGTCAAATCATCCTGGATGGCAAAGCAGTACGTGCCACCATCCTATGGCTGTTGGGAGGAACCTCTTTATGGTGATTCACCATGCTGGGCACAATGTTCTTTGCCTCCCCAGTGGTGACCATTTGCCTTCAGAAAGAAAAAGAAAATGAATTTCCATGCTGGGATTTGAATCCAGATTTACATTCTTTCCCTGCATGAAGTTGCCCAGCTCTGTCACTCTATTTTGATCCATCGCAGGAGTAAGATCCAACAGCTTCCTTCCAATGGGAACCTGGACCTGAAAGCCTTCCTTCTCCCTTCCCACACCATCTGGGAGCTAGGATTTTCCATCTTTTGTTAAAATAGTTACTTACAAAAGGAGGAAAGGGTTGAGGGCAGTTCACTGCGTTTATTTCACTTGGTATGTGTTTGCCTTTGCTTTAACACAGGCTTGTTTTCATGCCAAATGACAGTTCTATTTGTTCCCCCACCCCCTTTTTTTGTGTAGCTTATGTAGAACATCTGGTTTTAAAAGTGTCGCAATTTCTAAACATATTCTAACGCTCTTGGGATCAGAATATCAACAACTGTCTATTGCGGTAAACCGCATGTCTGGAAAACATTCCTGCAAACTGAGTTCTTAAATAAACATAAAGCATCTATAACACATAATGCAAAGCAACATTCACTCATAAACTCAATATTTAGACCAGATGAGGTGCAAAATATGGTTTCTCTGGACTGAGCCACCATAATTTACAGTAACATTGATGGGCTTTCCGTTGTATACAAGAGAGGGCAGAGGTGTGGCATGCAGATTGCAGCCTTCCTTTAAGAGCACATTCTGCATTTACGTCCCATCCTTAGGGGTTTGCTTCAGTTAGAGAATGAAGACCAGGGCTACATCCTCCCGAAAAGTTTCTATGGTTATTAGAAAGTAGGAATCTAAAAAGGAATGGCAAAGGACTGACACATTAGAAATGCCTGTATCTGATAAGCCTGCTGATCTTGTGTAATATCTGCATCTATGCTAATTATCTGCATGCATGGGTCTGAAATCCAGAGGCAATTCAGAGATAGCTTGAAGATTAAATAAACTGAATAAGATGGTGAAAGGAAAATTGCAGTAAATTGGTCTGAGTGGGAAGCTTTTGTTATTTTCAATCATTATTATTATTTATAGGGTGTGGAAAGTGGAACCATAAGCAACTTTATAGAGATATGCAGTCATACTTTAAAAAAAATGGTTTCACTTTGAAACTCTTCTCCACACTGGTTTCAGAAGCTCTACTTGTAATGAGGAATAGTACCAAAGCGAATAATCACTTCAAACCACTTTTTGGTATATTGGTGGCTGATGAAGTTTGTTGCCTAGAAATGGAAATGCTGAAAACTCATTAAACAATTGCTACATGCTATAAATATCTTTTGATTATTCTTACAGATTGCTATTTCTTATAAATATTACCTTCCTTTCCCTAAAAAAAAATAATCCAAATGCCTTTCTCCAATTAACCCTTTAAGAATTTCCACTCTAAAGTTCATGTAAATATTTCTTATAAGGAAAAAAGATGAACACGTACACTCAGGCTGAGATAATTACATCTGAAGGCTACTGAATCCAGCTCTTTTGGCATCTCAGAGTTAAGGTTTATCAAGAAAAATTTGAAAAATTAAGACAGGCCTTATCATTTCATTCCCTAATATTAAAAAGGGCTGGATCTTTTTTTTTTTTTTTTTTGATGATTAACATCTGTAGTTATGTAAGGTAAGATAAGGGTATTAGAACATCTTGCTTCCCTGTATAAAGAAGATCATCTGAACAGTATGGAAATGAGGGCCTCCACCCTAATACCCCATTATGCAACTGAATAGATGTTTTGGCCCCAATCCTGCACATATTAGGATGAAAATACCCCCCCAGCATGTGGTGATACATACCATACGCTGGACCTACGTGATTGTTGGGGGACAGACTATGATTGCTTTGAAGACTGAAAACTGCTCTGAGATTGGTGAAATTTTAGGCATCAAAAGGATAAGTGCTCAATATTTCTCACCTCTTCCATAACAAACTCGAAATTTTCACTGCTGGTGTGGGTTATTGGACTGACCCAGGGTAACTGGAACCGATTCTCCATAGATGCTCAAGCAAATGGTTTCTAGAAAGCAGGCCCATTTTTAGTTTACTGAAAGCAAGCAAACTTTTAACAAATCAACCGGAGTGAAAGGGACTGAGGATTCAGCTGAACATATTTCAAGCTTGAAACAACTGGGCTCTAATGCAAAGCAGATTTGTGCCAACCTGAAGGGACTCATGGCACTCCCTTGGGATTCGCACTGTGACAACCCAACGGCTCGGCGCCTTGCTTCTGTGAGTGACTCTACACGACATGCACTGCCCGCAATTGCTATTAGTAGGCTGGTGTCACCCCTACAAAACAACTGCTTTTTGCCAAGTCTAATCACTATACCATACACTCGAGCTTCTTGAATGAGGGGTTCTCATTCAAGCATGTAGTTTATTCAAAAACACATGCTGCATTCATTATAGCTGAATATTAACGAACACCTTGAATTCTTGAACCACTACTGGTATCAGGTCTCTTGGCTGCAGCTAGGACAGAATGCCTTATGGGAAGTTTGATGCCCAGCCAGGGCTCAGATTACAAAGCATACATAGCTTTTTTTCAATATATTGAAGAATCCACTGAATGTTACGTATCATCAAAGTACTTCCTAAACACATGTGGTTCTCCAAAATGTTTATGTTGGGATTGCAATGACTCTGGAAAAATCCAGCATTCCTTTTCCAGAAGCTACAAAACAGCAATTACTCTACTGAGGGCTGTTTCAAAGACATAACCGTTCCATAATACATGTGTGTGTGTGTATCATTTTGGGAGGGAGAAGAGAATCTTGACAGTTTTGATAAAAGCTCGAAAGAAAATATAAAAAATAAGCTCAACATAAAGCACAGTTTAGAGCTTAGGCTATATTGCATCCTCCTGTTCACTCTAAGTTTGAGGCAATCACTGATGTATTGCTACACAATCATAACTACTAGCATTTTCCAGGAATCTGATCTATCTGTAGGTCTGTACGATCTCTGTTGCTTGAAGACTTGACAACTTTGCAAATTCTTTTGTCTCTTCACACAGCTTTCCTGTGTAGCACAAGAAAAGTTTTTTTGTACTTTCAAGGCTGTCAAATATCACAAAAGTAAATAAAGGCAGAGAGGAAGCCTGTGGTTGGTAAGAGCGGAAAGCAGATCACCTGAACACTGGTTCCACGCCTTACCTCTGAGATCGCCCTTGCTCTGCACACACAGTGAACCCCCATCTTATTGAGACATTACATTAACATATTTCTCAAAGCTGCATCCAATATAATATCACATTTCTCCAAGTACCCTGTTTCTTCAAAGTATGTCTTTGGCATCTTCTGTTGAGTAAGCTAGAAATAAATGTTTCTGTTATTATTCCTAAAGGTGTAATATTATTTACTTTGAAGGATCATGAACACAGATTTCTCCCACAGCCTGGGGCCAGCATCCTCCCCAGTTCCTGTTCCACTCTATTGCAATCTATTTCCCTGACCTCAAGGATTACCTTGTGGCCTCTGCAAAGCTATCGCCTGGCCCACTGTAGAGCCTCGGTGCAGCTGTAACCTGCTGAGCAAATGGAGAGCACTTAGGTGTGACACTGCTCACAGACAGCACCTGTGCATGGCCCAAATGTTTGCCCACACGTTAGTTCTGCAGTGGGAAGTCTCTCACCCAACTGCTCTTGTCCCGCTATGCTCTGCCCTTGAGAGGCTCCATCTGGAGTACTGCATCCAGGCCTGGTGCCCCAGTACAGGAAGGTTGCAAAGCTGTTGGAGTGGTTCCAGAGGAGGGTCATGAGGATGACCAGAGGGCTGGAGCTGAGCTTGTTCAGCCTAGAGAAGATAAGGCTCCAGGGAGACCTCATCGCAACCTTCCAGTACTTAAGGGAGCATATAAACAGGAGGTGGACAGGCTTTTTAAATAGCTTGATGGTAACAGGACAAGCGAAAATGGCTTTAAGCTAAAAGAAGGGAGATTCAGGTTCAACATAAAGAAGAAATTCTTTACTCAGAGGGCGGTGAGGCCGTGGCACTTTGCCACTCTACCCTGAGCAGCTTCATCTGGTGGGTGGCAACCAGCCCATAGGGGTTAGAATAGGTAATCTTTAAGGTCTCTTCCAATCTGAACCATTCTATGATTCACCCAAATCCCTGGTGTGAACTCAGCCTGCATTTAAAGGAAGCCAGGTCCCCAGCCACGACACACAACAGCAGGCTGGTATCAGCCCAGCCCTGGTATTGAACTGAAATATGCCTTGAAATAAGCGAGCAAAGGGATTGCCTCTAAAAAACACAGCTCGTGGATTTTGCATAGGATTAGGCAAAAACTTCCTTCTGTTTTTCTAAATATTGACAAAAGGAAACAGGAAGATAGGTCTGTCCATAAAGAAGAGGTCTATTAATGCTGCTCTATTCAAGTGATAGTTTTATCTCTGTATTAAAACAAAAAGAGTAATGCTAGATATTACCTTTTTTTTATCTTGATAGTTCTAAATCTCATAAAATATTAGTATCTGTATCAGCTATAAAAATTAACAGCTCCAGATCCTTCAGTGTTGTGCTCCTCAATTTCATTTTATCACCAGTTTTTCAGTTGTCTGTGCATCTATGTGTGTGTGTGTGCACATGCACACACGTCCCTCCCTTTGCAAGCTGCTTGGCTGGTGATGAATAGGCTTATAATTGCTCAGCAAGGCTGTGCAGGAGGGCTTGCGAGTGGCACTCCTGATTCCTTTACATCAGAGGTCACTATTGTACAGTAAGATCCTGATAGGAGATAGTGATAACATGATGAAAAAAAAAAAAAAAAAGAAAGAAGAAAGAAAACTGGCTTTATGGCATGGATTGTTTCACAGTTAAATAATTTTTTAGGCTTAAAACTGAAAAATTCTGTCTGGCATCTCAGTCCAAAACTGCCCTTTAAAAATGCTTGGGAGCCAATGTAAACACCAAACTCACTATGCTGTTTGTATGCACTTACTCAATCTAACCTTTATTAACAATTAATCTATCAAATTTCAATGCCTATAAAATCCCCTGAA